GTTGACCTCAACGTTGACCTCAATGTTGACATGAATGTTCACCTTAACGTTCATGTCAACGTTCACCTCAACGTTGACCTTAACGTTCATGTCAATGTTCACCTCAACGTTTACCTTGTCAAGAAAATACTATGCACTTTATGTTTATTTGACTTTTTTTAATAATTTTATTATTATAATTACAATTGCATACAAAATTATCTAATTTACAAAAGGACGACAAAAAAAAACCAAAAGAATAATGAAAGAATGTCAAAAAAAACACCGAAAATACATGAAAAAAGCCACCAAACGAACATTGAAGAACATTGAAAGAAACACTGAAAAAACGTAGAAAAAGCGCCAAAAGAATGACAAAAAAGCATCTAAAGAATGTCGAAAGAAGCACTGAAAGAACACAAAAAAAACACCCAAATAATGTCGAAAGAAACACCGAAATAATGTCGAAAAAAACATTGAAGGAACGTCAAAAGAAGCACCAAAAAAACATTAAAAAAGCGCCGAAAGAATGCGAAAAAAAGCACCGAAAGAAGACTGAAAAAAATGCCGAAAGAACATCAAAAGAAGCACCAAAAGAATGTCAAAAGAAGGCACCAAAAGAATGACGAAAAGGCACCGAAGGAACGACAAAAAAGACACCAAAAGAATGGTGAAAACCCAACGAAAGAACGTTAAGAAAAACACCTAAGAAACGAAAAAAAGACAATGAAAAGATGCCGAAAGAATGTCGAAAAACCAATGTAAAAGGCACATAAAAACCATTGAAAAAACGCGTAAAAAGCACATACAAAAAAAATATATATATATATATACTGAAAGAATGACATAAGAAGCACCAAAAGAACAACATAAAGGGCACCGGAAGAACATCATAAAGACCACTGAAAGAATGTCGTAAAGATCACCAAAAGAACCTTGTAAAGACCACCGAAAGAACGTCGTAAAAAGCACTGAAAAAAATGAAAAAACATTTAGCTGATCGCGTTAAATAGTAAAATGGAAAATATGTGATGTGGTATAAAATTGTAATGGTAATCACGTGCCGGAAAAAATTTTGTGGGTTAATTACTAGATATTTTATGATCATCACATCACATGATTAATCATTCAGCCTAAATATTCTCCAGTATCGCCGTCAAAATTTTCACTTTCACGTGACAAGTTTAAAAAATCTTCAAGTTCGTTTAGGTTAGGGTTGGCCTCAATGATAGGGCTGGGTATTAGCAAAAATATAGTAAAATTGCACAAGGAATTTTTTTTGTTAGAGCACAAAAGGTGGTTTCTTATGTTAGTTTTTGAGGAATAAGCAATTTTTAAAAAAACGAGCGCTTTGTTTTGATCTTCCTAATCATGTAACATTATATTAAAGCGAGACTTGTCATTGGATAATCATCACGTGAAAGTGAAAATTTGATGGTGATACTGGGGTAGTTTTCGGCCTAAAACGTTAGGGTTAGTGATAGGCCAATTTGTTAATGCAAGTAAACAAATGACGTCATTTAATAATTTCATGTGATGTGATTATCACGAATATATCACCTAGTTCCTTGTTCTTCAAGTCTCCCCAGTATTGCTGATTTTGTTTGACTCAACAAAAAATTTTTTGTTAAAATTTATAACAAAGTGAATTCTCATAATCACTGTTGGAAATTCAAACTTATTTTAAAATTCTTACCAAATTTTTTTTTATATGTTTATTAATAAAAATTGATGTTTTCAGAGAACAATACTGGTCTTTTAAGCTTATATTGGATTTGTAATTAAATATATAGAATATTTGCCTTACACAGTTATACAGGAAAATTTGCCTGCGGCTTTTTACACTTATTTGAGCAAATCATGTGTAAATTATAATTTATAGATATGCAATATCATAAACAAATTAAATTACCCTTCTGAAGCCTTTTTATAAATAACTTTTTTGGCAGTGCATAGACCTCGAGTCCTTTGAATTCTTCGTTTACTTTTGGGAGTCTTCAGAAACATCGAACTTTCAGTATTACTGACACAACTGCACTAAGCAAAGCATGTGACTTTTAAGGTCAAAAACGAGACATTTGACAAGATGATTGGGTATCTGCGTCCATGCTAATTTGTCTGCTGCAATTACTAGATCAAATGGTAAAAATCATTTAATTATTTAAAATTTTGGGCTGTTCATCTTTACTGTATATGGCCATGTAACGTGTTATTTGTTTTACCGATGATGACAGATGAAAGTTTCTTTTCCTTGAATTGCAAGGAAATTTTGGCTGTAGATCTCATGTTCGAAGAGTTTCAAGTTATAAAAAGGCATATAATCCAAACTATTTATAGTATTAAGTTGACAACATCCAGTTACATATACATATATAGAAAAAATAATTTAGCAAAATTAAATAAGTGATGATATATTTCAGTGCTTTTCAAATTACTATGATCAACAAATTTCATGTATCACACCAGAAATCAGGAATCCAGAAAAAATGCCAATCTAATAATTTTTTGACCAATCATAAATTGGCATTTTTTCTTGATTTCTGGTGTGATACGTGGAATTTGCTGATCACACTAATTTGAAAAGCACTGTAAATACTGTATATAGTTTGCATAAAATTTTTTAGACGAAAAATTCTTATAAAAAGATAATGACTGAAGCCAATTTTCAATAATTAAAAAATAAATTACCTCAATTAAATATCATATAATGACTGAAGCCAATTTTCAATAATCAAAAAACAAATTATCTCAACTAAATATCATATACAAATAAATAATGAATAAACTTTTATTTATTCATTTATTATTATTGGTTGCACTTTTTGTTACCAATGCTATCAATGCGCTATACCCAAGAAAAGACTCACCACACCCACCATTTTTAATCTGAGCTATGAAAATGTGGAATGAATTAATGCAAGTGTAATTCCTGATCCAGTAGTTGCTGAAAATAATGTTACTCTTAGCATTTTAGGACTTCTAAATAAGGATATTGTGGATAATGGATTTGCTATAGTTGATTTTTCAGATATAAAAAATACACAACTAGGAGAAGAAGGTGTCACTCCTGTTTCTCCAACTAAAGCTGGAAATGCATTTTCGGTAAATATCACATTTGAGGCACCAGATGTTTTACCAGATCCATGCTTTATAGCAGTTTTTGTTATGGATCATAAGGGTGTTAAAGGTTATATAGCAGCGTGTGTTTAATGGTTCACCTAATAAAATTGCAGTTGGCAATAGATTCTTATCCTTTAGCTATTGAAAATATTATTAGCATAGTGCTTACGCAATTCGTTACAGTAGTTTTAAATATTATTTTCTCTTATTAATTATTTGAAACATTGAGTTTGGTTTGGGTAAGTTTTGTTTATTATATTCATTTTATATTTGTGTTAATTTGCATTTGTTTTATGTTTACATCAATGTGTTTTATAAAAATTAATTAGTATTATATTTATCCATATTGTATTAAATAAAGTAATAAAAGAAATTAAATTATTATTTCCTATTCTTTCATAAAATTATAAAAATATTATTTTAATTTTTAAAATAAAAATAAAGCAATTTTCATACTGCATTTACCACTTTATTAAGTTAAATATTACTATGTAGATGATGTGACCATAATATGATTTCACAAACCCATGAGCCTGCAAAGTTATGTAATAATGCTAAGTGCTATACTTGTTATCTAAATCCTAAACTATTATAATTTGGGTTTGTCTGCACCAAAATCCCAAACTTAAGCCCAAACTAATATTTTAAAAACTTTATTAATAAAAGGGTGTGGTGACTTAGTGTAGTTGGTAAGTTGTTATATCTCCAAGTAGCAGTACAAAAGTTTGAATCTCACTAGCAATGAAATTCAAATTTACAGAATGCATTAAAAAGACTGTATTATATTGGGCCTGCACTTTTAATATAATTTTATTAGCTATTACTGGAAGGTTGTGAAACTATAGTCTGATATATAAGTTATATAAACACAAATAAAGCAGCTATGTAAATTTAATAGATTAAAGGATACAGAAGCTCACTTGGCAAGACCTGAGTAGAAAAGTAATACAGACTTTCAATAATATTATGTAAAGAATCATCATTTAAAAAACTGAAAACTAAACAGAACTGAAGTGTAAAGCAAGCACTAAGTTACTATAATTATAATGTTTGTATAGAATATTTTCAAAAGGTTATAAGTTGTATTTTATAGTGTTTGGCTATAATATTTCTAAATTTGCTATAATAATTGAAGTCTAATATTTATCAATCAAGTTTATTAATAATAGAATTGGGGTATTGTAGTATATTTGTAGTTGACTATAGATTATTTTGAAGTTGTTGAGGTCTAATATGTGTGGAAATTTCTAAAATATGAAGATTATTAATATATAAATTAAAGTTGTAATATAGTGCTGAAATTGAATATTTTAAATATTGCAAATATTGTATAGATGCAGGTTAAGCATAGTGCTGTTAGAAACTAATCTGAAAAGATGTGATTTATATTTAGTTACTATAAAGTATTTAGCTAAAATTTGGTTATATACTGTATGGAGTAGTATGATATTATGTATTTGATATTCAAGAGTAGATATAATGACTATATTAATAATATAAGTAATTTGTTTGTTAGTGATTTTTTTTGTATTGGCAGTATATATAAGCTGATATACTTTATTTTGAATAAGTTTAATTTGGTGGGTTTGTTTGTTATCAAAAGTAAATCAGAATCCAAGATATTTGAATGGTTGGCTTACTGGAATTGACTTGAGTATAAAGTTAAAGAATGTAATAGAAAAGGGTTTAAAATTTGTAGCAAAAATTGATTTAGATGGATTAATTTGAAGATAAGCTATATAGTAAAAAAAGGTGGCTGTTTGAGTGATTTGTTCAAGTTCTTCTTTGGTTTGAGCTATCCAAAAAGTGGTATCTTTATAAATAAGTACTGATATAGATGCTTGAAAATGCTTGTTGCTTGAATAGTTAAATTAGATTTTTTAAGAGATAGATAATATATAACTAGTAAATTTAGTTACAATTTTATGAATAAGAAGATCATAGTAAATTTTTCAAAAGAGAGGTATAATAGTTTTGCTTTGGTTGATACTATTTTGAACAAAGTATGATTTTGTGAGTCTGAAGTTGGTAATAACTTTGTTGTGATGATTTAAAAGAAGGTTATATAGAATATTAATGAGTTCAAAAGGCATATTAATTCATATAAGTAATTATTAAAAAAGATATAAGTTGATGAAATCATATGCTTTGCTCATATCTTGTAATATAAGCCAAGGTTTCTTAGAATTGCAAGTTAAATTTTTAATTAGTTGTTCAAAATATGAATAGAAATAGCTGTACAATTACCAGACAGTGCAATGTAATTATATAATGAAAGGATAAAATACTTAGTAAAAATGTGATTAAGTTAATTTGTAATAAATTTTGTATAAAGTTTTTTAATATGTTTGAGAAGATTTATAGGTTTGGTGTTTATTAGATTACTATCAAAGATAGGTTTTTAGAAATTAGATAAATTCTATTCTATTTTTATTGTGTGATAATGCAATTAAGATCAATGTATTAATTGAAGAGTAAGATAATTGCTTAAAGAAATAGAAGGCTAGCATGTTTGAGCATCTCATTGCTAATTTCAAAAAAGCTTCATACTTTGTATTATAATACTAAACAAGTCAACAAAGTAATTCAAGACAAGAACAGGTTTTATTATATTAAACAGATGAAGCAATATATAAAGGTTTGTATCTTTCTTTTTACAGAATTTTCTTGACAACTATTACTAGAATAATTACTAATACTAATTACTTTTGACTATTTAATAACTATATAATTTATATACTTGAACTAACTATTACCTTGTCGACTTTAATTTAACTAATATATGACTACATTCTTTATATGCTAACTTGTAATACAGTGTTACTTTTAACTAATTAATATATAACTACATTCTTTATGTGCTGGCTTATAATATAGTGTTAGCTACTAACTAATATATGACTATATTCTTTATATACCAGAGGAGATACTTGAGTCCCAGTGGGTCTTGAAAGTCACAGATCTAAAGGTCATAGGTTTGAGCATCATATGCTCAAGTCATGATTAGAGCTTTGAATTTGGGTTGGAGCATGGTTGTTACACCATCTCCTCTTTAACAATCTGTCTTTTCTGTTGCAATTTTTTTGTTTGCTTTTTAAAACAGAGCCAGGCTTGTCAAAGTGCTGATAATGGAAGGCTTCTACTACTTCTCAGGCATGTTTTACATTTTTTGTGAAGCTTTCACAAACATTCATTTGCATTGTACCCTTCTCAGTCCACCAGATAATACAATTTATTCTGAATTAACTTTGCATTAAGAATCTCTTTAACCTCATATTCACTTGCTTCATCAATGGTTATGGGCAGTGGTGGCTCTGCCATTCTTCTAAGAATTGTGTTTGCTATGCATAGTTCCAATAGCAATATATGAAAGGTGTTGTAGATTTTAAAAGAAGGAGGCAATGTTAAGTGATATACTATTGGGCTTATTCATGTAGCAATCTTAAATAGGCCTAGTTTTTGATGGTCCAACTTTTTTAAAGGTCACTTAGTTCTTATATTTCTTCTTAATAACTATATTTTGTTATTATTATTGTACATAGGGGCTTTTTGTTAGTGCCTATTAGCATATTTTTTATATTGTTCTTGTATAGTGCTTAATTCAACAGTTAGCCTCTCTTTTAATGTTGTAACTAGGCCACCATAGCTTCTGGTATGGAACTGAAATATAAACAGAACCTTGCATATCAAATAGGGATAAAAGCTATAATTAGCAAGGAATAGGGCTGTTTGTATAGATACATAGGTGGAATTATTATAGGCAAACTTTGCGAAAGGTAATAGTTCAATCTAATCATCCTGGTGGTTTTAACAGTATATCGTAAATATTGTTCTAGTACCTGGTTTATCTGTTCACTTTGACCATTTGTTTAGAAATAGTAGACAGATAACAAATTAATCTTTGTGCCCAACAACTTAAACAGCTGTTTCCAGAATTTGAATGAAATTGAGGGCCTCTATCTGAAATAATTTCTTCAAATACTCCATATAGTCTAACCACATCTCTGAAAATTAGACAAGCTGTCTGTTTTATGTTGATATTCTTGTTATATGCAATAAAATAGCCCATTTTGGTTAGCTGATCTACCACTACAAGAACAGAATCAAATCTAGCAAATAAAGGTAAGTCAGTAAAAAATCTATGAATATAGACTGCTATTGCCAATTTGAAATAGATAGAAGAACTAACAACTCCAGAGTATGGTGTTTTCGAAGTTTTGACCTGACATAGATATTACAGATTTGTATATACTTTTAAACAAAAGGCTGAAGTTCGGGCCACCACTAGTCCCATGTAATTAGTTCGATAGTTTTTGCTATACTAAAGTGCTCAGCTAGCTTTGAGTTATACTTTGTACAAAGAATCTCTAATCTTTTAGGTGCTTTTAGTATGTATAATAGCCCATCCTGGAACAGAAATCTATTGTTATATACAAATTTGTCAAGGTCAAAACAGAATTTTGTTGGGACTTTATTAATATGAGTTAAATATTTGATTATTCTTTTAGCTAAGAGATCTTTTTTAATTGAAAATGGAACTGCTTCATTAAGACAGAGTCAACAGAAGCTACTGTCATTGCATCAAGACAAACTTTCTCTGGTTTTAGTAATATATACTGCTGTTTCTTAGTTGTACTTTTCATTTAAGGTTGGTGGTCAGGTCTTCTTCTCTGCGGCTAAAGCTAATGCATTAGGTTTAAAGCATTTTCTTTTTATTATTAGATATTTGTCTTGAATTTGATATACTATATTAGGACCCTCTCTTTAATACCAAAGCTGATGCAATAGATTTAAAACATTTCCTTTTCATTATTAGATGCTTTATATGAATTTGATGTACTAATTTGGGCCCTTTTAGGGCTAAAGCTAATATATTAGATTTTAAGTATTTTTTTTGAATTTAATGCATCAATTTAGACCTCTCTAAGACTAAAGCTGGTAAATTAGATTTAAAGCATTTTCTTTCATTATTAAATGTTTGTCTTGAATTTGATATATCAATTTGGCCCCTCTGAGATTAAAGCTAATGCATTAGATTTAAAGCATTTTTTTTTCATTGTTAAATGTTCCATCTTGTATTTGATGCATCA